TGTAAAAAAAAATTCCAGACAACAACGGAGTCCATGTCGCGGACATTTTTCAGAGATCGTCTCTGCTGCGGCTGCCCACCCGGTGGCACCGGAAACTTTACAAAAGTTGCGGTAAGCTATATTTTTACCATTTACGTAACATCTGTGCAGCGCTGAAAGAGAGGCACCTGGTTGCCGCTGGGAGAACGCTCCGTGTTCTCACTACTCTGTAAACAATCACAAACAACGTGTCTTAAAGTTGAAAGCAGAAGTTTAAGTTAAAACAGAAACACTCTGAAACTTTTCTGATGATTTTCTAAACAATTCTGTCGGGGAGTTATATGTTTCTGAGATGAGTCTCTGTCTAAACATCAGGCTGGAGATCACACCAGATTCTCTGCTGCAGGTGTGAATCTGCGGGTCTGCAGCATCCCCTTCTTAACATGACATCAGGACTTCCCATGTAAGGAAGGTCCGCTCACCTGTTCGTCAGATCATTATTTCCTCGCTATGACCTTTTATCTTCCCATCATCCTCCAGTCATCCAACTGGAACCAGTTAGTGTTCCTGATCATTCTCAGAATATGCCATGCCTGCTCTGGTGTTAAAAGTTAGTACATTTAAGTCCTAGATCATATTTGTGCCTGTTCTACTGGCATTTGGAAGGATTATTATTTATGTGTTTTTACTACATTATGAGTAGAAATGCTAATAAAACTCTCAATTATACAAACTGGAAAAATTAGAATCTGGTGCAAAGTCAAATTTATTTCAGTCATTCAACTAGACAGAGAGACTATTTAAAGGCTCAGGAACCCTTTGCACGTGTTTTCTATTTGTAATTATAAATTTTAGTTGATTTGGGTTTGTTTCATATCACACAGTGACATTTGAATAATTAAAATGCATTTTTTATTAAAAGCTTTAATTTACAGTAATAACCATGTCTAATGTTTAATTCTCTGACTCATAGTTTTAATTAAAAGTTTTACTTTGAGAGCACATTTTCCAGAACGATTAAAATGTGATTAATTTAGATTAATTAATTACAAAGCCTGTAATTAATTAGATTAAAATTTTTAATAAAGTCCCAGCCCTAGATGCAACCCTATCCAGTTCCTTGCTGCTCGCTGATCTGTAAACGTTTCATTGACATTGATCCATGGAGTCTGTTCTCTCCGCCTCAGCAGAGCCTAAAGCCGTTCTGCTGGGTGGTATTGACATTTACATGGTGAAGGCTGACTCACTCTCCTCCCCAATTAATTTCACTTCAGTCCGTCTGAGCTTTGAGTCCTCCCAGCAGACCGTGGGCCAGGTGGCCTCCAGGTGATACAGATCTGATGATGAAGGTTTAATCTCATCAGCTGCTTTAGTCTCAGGAGGATTTTGCCTCTTTTCTTTTTCTTCCACCAATAAAACTTGGAACATCCGTGGCTCACCTCTGGAAATGCCACCTGGTCACCTCTGACCTGCTGGCTTTCCCCCAGCATCTCACCGGGGACGGTTTCTGAAGGAGTCATCTGAAAGCCTGCAGCTCCAGGGGCTGGGATTAAACATAGATGAGAAGATGGCAGGACCAGCCTCCGTCTGAAAACACACCTTCTATTTAGTTTCTGTTCATAAACGAGTCACAAGTGTGAGACTTGGTCAGACTTCTGGTTAAATCCTCAAATGTGACAGTTCAGGCACAGTCCTCTGGGCTGTGCCACCGACCCTCAGAGCTACAATAATCCCAGCGGATTTCAGATTAGGACCAGAGAATCAGTCTGACATAAACCCATGAATGAGAGGCTGCTCATGGCTTCCTGCTTCATGTCTGTTTTATATCATTATAATTTTATTCTAGAAGTTCAAACGGGATCCAAACCCTCCGTTTCCATGCTGAAGTAATCTGGTGCTGTTTAAATATTCCAGCCTGCTTCATTCCCAGGGAATCACATCCCAGCTGATGGTGCTAGTGTCACAGCGAGTCAGGTCCTGGTGAATTATCTGCTGGTGTAGATAAATCCCGCTCCCGTCTATTGGACCTCCTCAGGACGGTTCAGATTAAAGCTGAGCTCTGAGGACCATGTTTGTTGGATAGGAGATGGTTCTTCAGGTTTCTGACTCCTACTTCTGGATCAAACTACATCAAAAACATGAAATCTGTGCTTTAAACACCCAACTCTGCTGTGAGCTGAAATGTTCCTGCTCCCTCTGAGGGTTTTAGTGCTGAACTCTTTGTTTGTCTCCGTCTGTCTCCTCCTAACATCTCCACCTTCTGATTTATTCATCAATCCGGTTTCTCTCTGCTGGAACCATCAGCTCCTCTATTTCTGTCCCAAGCAGCAGCAGCTCCAGCTTCTCCTCCTCAGACGGGAGGTGATGAATCATCTCACTAAGGCAGGAGACTCAAAAGGTTCTGTAATCCTGAGAGATCACACATGTGGAGATGAAACATCACAGATGTGACAGTCCTGGTGTTCAGACTCACGGCCGCAGCTACAAACCTACTGATTTCACACACCAACATTGCGGTCAGACTGGAAGTCTTCAGAGTAAACAAACATGGCGGAGGAGGAGCATGCTCCTGTCACCTCTCTTTCTGATTGGCTACTTGTCACATTCAACGAGCAGCGAGATCGTTTGACCTCCATATGAGGCCAAAACGATCCAACGTATTTCCAGTCAGATCTAAGAGCTCTTAACACACCACACACAGCAGGAATTTCTGATGAGACCATCTTAAGAGCAGTTTTGGTGAGGCTCACATGTTTCAGATTGTTTTTAACAACTAAAAAATGGGATTAATTTAGATTACTAATTAAGTACCAGAACTTTTGTCTGATTATGAGATAAAACCAGAGGAACTCTGACCTTTGGAGAACATTTAGATATTTTAAATGATTCAGAAAAACAAATGTAAAATGTATTTGTTAGCAGAGTTAAATATTTCGCCTGCGGCGCGCAGCAGCAACCTTCTGAGTGGTGTAGAGTATCAACAGTTACATCTTACGTAGGAAACCATCGAAGGTGAGATTCCATCGAAAATATGGAATCAATTTGACGTATCTTTGAATACTACCTTTAATCAGAAGATCAGAACTTTTTATTGCAGGGATTAGGCAATACCTAATCCCTGCAATAACCCAGAGTCAAAAGAGAGATAAAGACCAAGTTTAAAAGTTTAAGAAGATTTATTTGTAAACAATTTAAAACAAGGCAAACTAACTCTAAACACTGTGTGATGGATGGATCTAGGTTGTGAATGAGGCAAGATGGATGGTGTGATGTGGAATGTTGTTATCAGAACTCTCGTTTCCGGAGAAGCCTTCATTCTGTGTGGGAGCGAATGTTTTGCTCTAAACTAGTCGGAGTTTCAAAAAGCACATTCAGACGCTATCTTGCCGAGCAACATACCCTTGCGGAGACCTCCTTGTGGATCCAGAATGCCAGGTTCTCGAACCCTCTTTGGTACCAAAGCTGATGAAACAGCGTACGGTACGACAGACTAGTCTTGGAATGCCTCCAGGTAAGCGGCAGGTGGTTTACAGCGTCGGCGGGACCCTGAAGGGTCAGTGAGTTCAGCTTTTACTCTGAAGGAGTGTTGCGTCAGGTGGAGCTTGCAACAGGTTTGTTTTCCAGCTTGTCGTTAGGTTCTTTGTGGTTGAAAAGTTACGAGTGGCCGGCTCACAACTCCAGAACGTTTGAACTGAGTTAAGAGTGACGTGGGAGTTAGTTTTATAATTCAGATGTTTTGATTTATGGTCGAATCAGAGTTGGACACAAATATAAACACCTCACAGACCACGCCACGCATCAGAAAGGAAAGCTCTGATTGGAGAGACAAAGGAATGTGTCATGTGATCTTAACATTACGTGTGATCAGTCTAGTGTGTAGTTTAAAAGTTATATTACTTATTAAAGTACTATCATAGGATTATAATATCAAGTAATTAATATTCTAATTTCACAGATTGATTTAACATGATCTTTACATGATTATTTGGACTAACACAGGTATTTGATCATTATTTAATAGAGAAAGTGTTTTTGGTCTTCTTTCTTCTCTTGAGCTGTGTGTGTGTGTGTGGGGGGGGGGGGGGGGGGGGAGGCAAATAGCTAGTTGAAACAGTTTCGATGCAGGGGCATCAAAGGCCTTGAGCATATCTGAAGGAGATTAGTTCTTCCGGAGGAGAAAGGAAACAGTTCCTTCATGATGCTACAGTGGTAATGAGACCAAAACACAGAAGAAACTCACAGAAGCGTCTGCAGCAACGTTCTTTCTTTGGGTTTCGTTGTTGGTGACGCTCTCGCCCCCTAGTGTGTGTGTGTGTGTGTGTGTGTGGGGGGGGGGGTGTTAGTGAATGAGATTACACTTAGGCTTTGGGAAGTTTGTTCTGACTGGAGCATGAAAAGAATCTAACACACAAACATACACAAACATACACAAACACACTCACATGCACGCAAACACTCACACGCACATGCGTGCACACAAACACACATGCATACAGACACACATGCATGCGTGCACACACACACACACACACACAAACACACGTGCACACACTCACATGCACAAAAGCACACGCACATGCGCGCACGCACACAAACACGCACACGTGCACACTCACACATGCGTGCGCACACACACACACACATGCATGCATGCGCACACACACACTCAAACACACACATGTGCACACACTCACACACACAAACACGCACACGTGCACACTTATACGAGCGTGCGCACACACACGCGCATGCATTCACACACAAAAATACGTGCACACACACTCACGCACATGTGCACACGCACTCACACACACGTACACACTCACAAACACACATATATACAGACACACACACGTGCACACACTCACACACACACTCGCATGCACATGCACACACACACACACACATGCATGCGTGCACACACACAAACACAAGTGCACACACTCACACACACAAACGCACACGCACATGCGCACACACGCACACACACACACACAAACACACGTGCACACACTCACACACGCACACACACACACACACACACACACACACACACTCAGAGGGGTTATTTATAACTGATCATTTGCTCCTCTCTGACGTTTTCATAAACCTTCTGACACGTTCCTCTTCTCTTGGTGATAAAATTCTTCAGACTCGTGATTTTTTCATGACTTGTGAATAATTTGTGGAGCAGCAGATGAGAGTAGGATTGTTCTGAAGATAGTGGATGAATAAATCAGCTGTTAGATGGAGCCAGATGTTCTGGAAAGCCCAACAGAACCTGACTGTGTTCTGGTGTGTGTCAGAGATGGGCCCAGTCCTGGAGCTGAAGCAGGTCTCTGGTGCTTTTGGACCTCCTTCTGGAACTGGACTGGATCACCTCAGGTGTGATGAGGATGTCACCTGTAGGTTCACCTGAGACCCTCCTCCTGATGGACACCTCCAGGTTCTGCAGAACTTCCTCCTGGTGCTGGCAGAGACGACGCAGACGGAAAAGTTCTGTTACGTTGCTTCAGACAGCAGCTTGTGGGTCCATCTGGAGGAGCTGGTTTGGGCTCATGAAAATGTTCACATCTACATTAAGAGCCTGCTTGAAAGATCAGAGTCCACCCGTCCAGTAGAAATTAAACTGAGACACACCCAACCAGTCTGGGCCCCGGGGCCGATCGCTGTCACACGTCTGCTCCAGGAGGATAAAGCAGCTTCCTTCCTGCTCCTGCTACCAGAACCACAGATTCACCAGCTGGTGTGAAAATGCCACTGATGACGACGTCACCTGCAGCTGTTTGCTGACATTCCTTCAAATCTGTCTGAAGCAGATGCAGAGGTGAATGTTAGCATCTGCTAGCATGGCGCTGTCAGACACACACAACTTTTAACATCTTTGAAAGACCTCCAGGGCCACATCCTCAGCTCAGATTAAATAACTCGTGTGACACCATAAACCAGATTGTTTCGCCTCACATGAATTTTGATAAGTTCCAGTCTGGCTTTCGTAAGAAGCGTTCAACAGAAACAGCTTTGCTTAACGTTTCCAGTGACATCATGATGGCTGCAGACAACGGGGAGTTCACCGTGTTAGTATCGTTAGATCTTTCTGCAGCTTTTGACACTGTTGATCACAACACCTTATTAACAGACTTGGTGACTCGGCGGGGATCTCTGGAACTGTTCTAGACTGGTTTAGATCGTACCCTTCTAACAGACGTTACAGTGTCTGTGTAAACCAAATCATGTCAGATTCTACCCATCTGTTCTGTGGGGTACCCCAAGGCTCTGTTTTGGGTCCACTGTTGTTTCTGTTGTATCTACACCCTCTTGGACAGATACTTGATTCTTTTCATAATGTCTCCTATCACCTATATGCAGATGACATTCAGCTGTACTGTGCCTTTAAGGATTCTGACATGGTTTGGGGAATGCGTTTAACCATGGACGTAATTTTTTTTTGGGGGGGGGGACAGGAGGGACATGTCCCCCCCACTTTTTCCAAAGTCAAGTTTTGACGCCTGCACTTTTTACCATCCCAAAATAATATTACGCTATATTAAATTGACACTGGTTGAGCTCTAGGACCAAGCAGAACACAACCGTTTGTGTTGAAGCCTGTTTCCCATCAGAACATACTGTAAAGATACCCAGAAGAGCACACATCACTCCTATTCTAATGTCTCTGCACTGGTTGCCCGTTAACTTTAGAGTCCATTTTAGAATCCTGATTATAACTTTCAACGCTCTACATGGTCAAGCTCCTCCCCATATTACTGACCTGTTAAAGCCTTAGGGCTGATTCATGCTTCTCCGTCTGCGTCAGTGCGGAGACACGCAACGCCATTATCCGTCCTTGCGTAGGGTCCCGCCAGGCACACAAGTACGTACGAAGTCGAGCCCACTTTTTTAAACATCCATCGAACGAGACGGAGAACGCAAGCTTGTGATTGGTCAGGGCACCGCTGTCGTCTACACCGCTGCCATTGCGCCCTCAAAAATATAAAGAGAGCCGAGAATAACTAGCGGCAGACACAGAGACGCTTGAAGAATACCTCGCGAAAAAACTCTGAAACATGAACGTTTAGTTCCCCCGTGACTGGAGGAGTGAAAAGATACGCAGCAAGTGTTTTATTTGTGGATTTCTGTGATTTTGTATCCTCGTTTAGCTCCCTCAAGCTAGTCTACGATGATGTTCATCCTGGTTTTAGCTCTTTGCGTTGCCTCCAAAGACATTACTCTCTTACTTTTCTTCCAGGCTCCGCCGTGATGCTAACAGATCAGCTAACTTATTTTTGTTTTTTGTGCTTTTCATTGACAGTCGGAAAACTGAAAATGCTAACGGCTAGCATGACAACTAACAGCCATGACGCAGGCAAAGCGTGCCCCCTATGGGACACATACCAGCTCCACAAAACTGCTAAGTGCAGCATCTGGCCAGTAGAGGGCTGCAGATTTGTGTCGAATATGAAACTGATCAGGTTCCTAACTCAGAAATCGCTGAGATAAATGTTAAAGTCCTAACTTAAAGTT